AGGTATTTTGTCTCAACAATGAGAGAAAAGTAACCAACACACAAACAAGAGTGCTGGACTTGCATCATCATGTGTGCATGCAAGTGTATGTGCATGCAAGTGTGTATGCACGCGCACACACACACACAACCTAAAGGTAAAACGCAAAACTACAAAACTATTAGAACCTAATATGATAGGAAATCTAGCTGATCTCAGTACGTTGATGACTTTTTGGGTGCAAAAGTAAACAACCTATGAAAGAAAAACTGATAAACTAGACCCCATTAAAAGTAAATATTCTTGGGTTACAAAAGTTACAAGAGTGAGGAGAAAAGCCAGAGTTTAGGAGGAAATATCTGCAAAAGACTTAATTGATAATGGACTGTCATAAAAAATGTCTAAATAACCTCTAAAACTCACCAATAAAAAAAAAAAAACCTCAATAATAAGAACACAACTAACCAATGAAAACGTGGGCAAAAGACCTGAACAGACATCTTATTACAGAAGATATACAGATGGCAAATATTAAAAGAGGATTCACATTACATGTTGTCATGGAAATGCAAGTTAAAAAAACAAGATACCACTATTTACACCAGCAGAATAGCAAAAATCCAGAGCACTGACAACACCAAATTCTGGAAAGTATGCGGAGCAACAGGAAAACTCATTCATTGCTTGTAGGAATTCCAATGGAGCAGCCACTTTGGAAACCATTAGCATTTTCTTACAAGACTAAACTTCTTGATTCAGCAATCATACTTCCCGGCATTTATTCAGAGTTGATTACTTATGTCCACATGAAATGCTGCACATGGATGTTTATAGTAGCTTTATTCATAACTTTGAGACAACCAAGATGTCCTTCCAGAGAGTAATGGATAAATTGGTACATTCACACAATGGAATATTAGGACTAAAAAAGCAACGAGCCATCAACCATGAAAAGACATAAATGAACCTTAATAGTGTAATACTGCCTGAAAAAAGCCAAGGGTAACAACTGCATTACATACTGGAAAAGGCAGAACTATAGGGACAGTAAGGCAGTCAGAGGTGCTCAGAGGGAAGAATAAATAGGCAAAGCATAAAAGATTTGTGAGTCAGTAAAAATATTCCATATGATACTATAATAGCAGAGACATGACATTAGACATTTGTTCAAAGCCACAAAGGGATGGTCCAAGTGTGAGCCTAATGAATACCCATGAACTTCCAGTGACGATGATGTGTCAGTGTAGAGTTACTGATGATGACAAAATACTCCATCGTGGTGGAGGGGACACTGACAGTGTGAGCAGCTACGTATGCAGGGGTGGGTGTTAAACATGAAATCTCTGTACCTTCCACTCAGTTTTTCTGTGTACCTGAAACTCCTCTAAAAAATAAAATGCATTTAAAAATTGTTTTAAAATAAAGGGGAACTGGTTATGCTTTACTAGCAGGGTGTGGAAAAATGACAGATCATCCATCAGGTAGATAAGGGGTCCTCAGTGTGTAGGAGGACGAGGAGCCTTGGGTTTCTGTTGAAGAGTGTGATCTGCTTTTTCCACTGCCTACATAAGCCACGGAAACATCACTTTAAAATGTTAATACCTTCCACCTACCACTACCTTAGAGTCCAGGCTACGGGACGCTGGTCCCAAATTACCTGCCAGCTTATTACCTAAGATCTCCCAGGACAGTTCTGTTCCAGTTCTCTCTGTCACCCTGTCCTCAGAGCCTCTGCTTCCATCATGTCTCCTACTGGAGGATTCACACCCTGAGTTTAGGGTCAAGTCCTAGACTCATTTCCATGTCACAGCTGAGCAGGCCATATTGCCTTTGACCATGACGGCCGCAAGGCCATGGCACAGTCTGATGATGTTGAGACCCCAGAGCAAATCCAGACCCCAGTACACAGTAAGTAACACAGCCAGGATAGAAAAATTACAATATAACATTATTTGCAAACAGGTCTTTTATAATTATGCATATGAAAATATACCACAGTGACCAAATAGTTGTAGGAATTTTATTTAGTGTGTTTAAATAAATTTAAATTTTAAAATAATTTCAGAGTTACAGAAAATTTAAGAAAACAATCTAGCGGTCCTATGGGTCTACCTCCAGTTTCCTTTATGATTAACTTCTTATATTAGTATGACTATTCTCTAGTAACTAAATGAGCCAAGAATTAACGTGATTTCTAAAACTTCAAAACCTTAGTTTTGACAAACGAAATAACATAGAGGAAATATCACTTTCCATAACCTCTAACTTCATCTTAGCATCCTAATATTTACTATTTTTCTTATTTTTAGCATTAGTTTAGACTCTTTTTGGCATAAATTCTTGGCTAAAAACTAGAACAAATTTGGCTTTACCTTCATTAGCCATATACCTGTGTATGTCATTCAAAATATTATTGTTTGAAAAGGGTTATAGAAAATATCTTTTAAATTTTTTATTTTTGTGACACAAGATTCAAAACCTGGCCTTGAATGTGCTTGTATAGTCCAGGCTGGTTTTGAACTTACAGTGATCCTCCTATCTCAGCCTCCCAAATGCTGGGATTACAGGTGTGTGCCACTGTGCCCACCTAAAAAATGTCTTTACTATAAAACACCTTGGAAATTATTTATATACTTGAGCCAGCTTACTTCCTAGAATCTGAATTTTTGTTTTTACTTCAACAATAAATTTTGCCTTGGCTTTTACACCCCTGTCTTCCCCTCCTTCCTTTTATACATCCAAAAATACACAAACCAAAGGCTGAGGGTACAGCACAGTGGTAGAATACTTGCTTCAAAGGTACAAAGCCCTGCATTCTATTCCAGCAAGAGAGGGAGACAGACAGATAGACAGAGATAGAGAGACAGAGCAGAGGCAGAGACAGACAGAAAGATGGATGGACAGACAAAGAAAAGCCGGGCATAGTGATGTAATTCCAGCATTCTGGGAGGCTGAGGCAGGAGGATCACAAACTTGAGCCCAGCCTATACAACTTGCAGCTTAGTGAGACCTTTTTTAAGTCTCAAAACTTAAAAAATAAAAAGGGATGGGGAATAACTCAGTGAGAAGGCCCAGGGTTCAATCTCTAGTACAGCAACAACAACAGCACCTCAGTCCAAGCCTCTCAGATTGTATACTCAACAAATACCAATTATAATCATTTGAAGGAACACGATAGCTCCAGTAGATGGGACACTGATTTTAAATGACTAAAAGCCAGGGGTTCTTGGTAAGATATTTCCTGAGACTCTAATTTCTGCCATTAGACATCCAAAGTGTTTATCCTCTGCAGGATTCAAGGAAAGGCAGCAGGAATTAAGTCTTAGTGAAAGTGGATTTTAGTTTTCAAATTACAAGAATCATTTCTAGCTTGCTTTGAATGTCTAAACTATAGAAAATGGAGGGTGAGATGTTTTTCCTTTTTCTCTTTTAAACGTTTCTTCTCTCATAAGTTTTCTTTGTTCTCAGTGCCAAGTTGGTTTCAAAGAATTTTTCTGAGTATCCAGCAGTTAGAACAAATCCTATAGATTATACAAAGAAATAACCACCTGAAGTAACTAGCTTACTGTCCTATTTTTCTTATAGATAGCATTCTGTTCTAAACTACAACTTTAAAAATCTCAAATAGGTCTTTCATGTCTCCTTTTTCTTTTTTAGTTGATAAACATATTTTCATCTTTTAGAACAGTTTGTAAGAATACAGCCAGAAGTGTAATATTAAAATCTGAAAATACTGAACAGTATTTATGAATACTTTGCCTTATTTAAAGTAGTTTTGGAATTTTCCTAAAAACAAATTAAAAACAAAAATGCAGGGTTGTTTTTGTTTTTGTTTTGGTACTAGGGATTGTACTGAGAGCCTCATGCTTGCCAGGTAATGCAGCATTTTTTATCTTTAGGGAAATCTGTATCATATTTAAAAACCTAATGAGCAAAACTTTGTTAATGAAATTAAAGATTACAAGAAAAAATTATACTCTTTGTTTAGTGAAACAGTTTAAATTCTGTCAATGCAGAAGTCAATCACTAGATTAGAATTTGAAGGAAAAAGCTGACTATCAGAGCTAAAGAAGAAGAATCTCATATTCACAGTTAATGATTAAAATCCCCCAAAAGAAAGTTAAAAGCATTCTAGGCAATGTTCAAGACAGCTGTGCTATACAATTAAATTGCTTATCAACTATTATGTAACTTTACTCAATCACAGAGGTGATTAAAGGACCCAAGAACACCAGTATTAAAAACGGACTGATGTTTTTAAAGAAAGATTGAACAAAAGTGTTAAAAATCAACGTGGCGTATGAACCGAGCAGGTATGAACCAGCCTGTCTGGAGGCAACACATGCTTTTTGAGACATTTAATGCTCTACTTAGCGTTCAGCAGATCTGAGCTATTGTGCAGCTTTACTAATCAGCTTTGAGTGAGTGCAAACAGCAGCAGACCGGACAGGACAAGAAGTAACTGAAGCTTGCGGTGACCCACAGAAGCCCGAAAAGGAGGTACATTGCAAGGTGAGCAGTGAAATCACATTTTTTCCCCACAATCTGAACTTTAATAAAGCTTTTAAAATCAGAACACAACAAATATGATTTCTGGAAAAAGACAGTAGGACAATAGTATGCTAAAGGTTGACTTTTGAAATGTTAAAAAGGTAAGTTTTATAAGCCATTATGAAGATGCTGCATTACACTATCTAGTACTCTTCTGTCTTTAAAAATATTTTTCCCACCTACAGTATGCCAACTGCATGTAAAAAGAAAGAACAATTTTCCTTCCTAACTCACTAATACTGATAAACACTTAATTCAAGGAACAGACTAAAGCTACCTGTTCTTAGAAATTAGAAAAGTTGTGCAGACATGCTATCTAACTGGAATACTTAATTATTTTCCAAGTTATTTCATGACCATAGTGTTATTCATTCTTTGTTTTTAAAACTCTGATTGAATCATTCTTTAAAAAATTTTTAATTTGATTATCATATACCTAAGTGGTAACAAATAGTTGAAATTATTCTTACCTGAAGTTGCTCATCAGAATTTGGTGGACAGTTCAAAGTAATTGTATCACACTCTTCAGCTAGGAGGGAAAAAGGTACAAAGCTTGATAAAAGAAAGCATATACTGTCATGTAAGATCTAAAATTAAGGCTCACAATCATGGTGCTGCCTTGATACCAGGTAAAACTGGGAGGCCCTGGAATTACCTAACTTCAAGTTCCTTTCCCAACTCTTCTTCCAAGATAATGTGTCCCCAAGCTACATAACGCCCTTATCAGAGGATTAGGCACAGTCCTGCTTATTTTGGAGTAGTTCCCTACCAACTCATGGAATTATTCAAAACACCAATCATATGTGCCCTCTAGAAGCACCAGGGGCACACCACTCCTTTGCTGCATTAGCCTGGTGAGTGCCCTGGCCATGTGCCCCACACTGTCCAAGCCATGGCTTGTGAGTGTGCACCTCAGCACTGGTGCAGGCAGGCCCTAGTGAGATCTATGGAAAGAATGGTGCTCACCATGCAGAGGGGATTCTGTCTGGCACCTGGCTTACATCATTCAGGCAAAGGCAAGGACCTGCTTGTCCTCTTGCTGTTGCTGTTGCCCCTACCCCAAGGGCACTGAGGCTCAGGGGTTGACAGAAAGCACAGAGATGGAATGATGGGTACCACCATGCTCTTGGCCAAAGCAAAGAACTCTGCTGACCCCGCTGCTCACCAGCACCCAAAGGGGGAATCCTGCCATCAGGGGCTTGATGGCTTCACCAGGCCACAGACTAGTATCCCTGGTGGGAGCATCTGATCAGGGGAGCTTGTATAAAATTCAGACTCCAGGTGCCTAAAATGCCAACAACGTTCAAATCCCTCAGTCTGCTTCACTTCTCTTTACCTTGTAAATGCACTACAAAATTTTTTTGGGCAATATGAGAAAAGAAAGCAGGAGGGCCAAATGCATTTGTGTGAATGCTTAGCTATGGGCAATTTTCTACCTCTGTGAACAGTGGCTCAAAAATCAGAATTATTTTTCCAAACACATTTTGTCTTTCCAGTGTGCAAAAGAGCCACATTCCTTTCAGAACTCTCATGCCAGCATCTTCTATGCGGAAGCAGGAAATATGTGGGGTAAGAAAACACCCTCCGTACAGGAGTCCGGAGTCCAGGGGCTGCAGACACTCAGCAAAAGCAGCAGCAGGAGGGCCAACAGGAGCACCCCGAGACTGCTGAGACCTGACAGTTGTGTGGGTGGACCTAGGTGGGAGTTCTGCATTTAGTCCTGATGAGAAAGCTGATAGAGTAACAAATCAGAAGCCAACTGCTGAAATTACACCAGATCTCCACAGGAGACTTATTGATAAGTCATATCTCCAAAATCGTTCTAGCTTGGCATGTGTTAAAGAATAGCTTTATGAAACCAGGTGTAGTGGCACATGCCTGCCTGTACTAAAGCGGTCTTGGTCTCAAAATACAAACTACAAAAAATAAAGGGGGTGGGGTGCGGGACAGGGATGTACCTTGGAGTAACGGGGTTCAATCACCAGGCAGTCAAAAAAGAAAAAAAATATCTTTTTGCTGTTCATGAATAAAGTAGGGATATACTAATAGTATAACAGAGATTTTATGAAACATGCTTAATTTGCTTAAGAAAATGAATTTGATTTTGTTTGATCTTATGGTATGGCCAGGTATTCTGAAGATACATGAGGTATTATGGTAGCCATTGTTGATTTTCTATCATCTTGTTTTGAAATCCTATATTGCTCTCGTTAAATAAAATAGCCCCCCCCCCAAATTCACTTGAATGTTGGAATCTTAGTTGGTATTTAATATAATTAGGGTACATTTACTTTTAGGTCTACAAACTAGTCTCTTCACTAATTCATGTGGATTTTCTTTCCCTGAAAACAATTTAATGATAAAATTCCCATAAACACCTAATGGTAGTATTGGCTCCATCTTTGAAGTTCAAGAGATACAGGAAATATTAAATTATTATATTATCAAATACAAATGGTTAGAGTAAGATTCTAAACTTCTAACCATGGTTCATTTACATATAAAATGATGTATTTCTGTGGTGATAAATAACATTTAATATTTAATACTGTTTGACATGAATATGGACAAAAGAAAAGTCTAAGTTTTCAGAGTCACTTTTCTTATAAATCTGTAGTAATTTTAATAAAGATTCTGTAAATTCAAATTCTAAGTGAAACTTGTGTAGGATCAGGTTGCTAAGCAGCAGTCTCCTTTCAAAACAGGAAATCTCATTCAGGTTGATAAAGAAATGATGTTGACTCAGACAATCTAGGCAGTCCTACCTCAACCTCTCTGCTTGGGAACTTTCAAAACTCCACCCTGATTGTCTGCAATTCTTCCACTAACTGTCCCTCCACCCTTTTGGTTCTCAAGTGTGCCAGGCACAGTTCTAGACCTCACTTTCTTGAATTCTCGCAGGCATCCTGGAAGAGGAATGCTAACCTGGTCCTTTCTACTCCAGAGAAGACAGAGACCTGGAGACCTGGAGTCATTTGCTGAGGCTGTTGAACAAGGGTTTGATTCTCCCTTCTACATCCTGGAAGCATCCCAGGCAGAAGTCTACATTCTGACTACCTTGATGTGGGCTAGAAAGCAGATTCCTAGGCCCTGTCCAAACCCACCAAAATCTACATTTAAACAGCTCCCCTGAGTGCAAACAGAAGCCTGAGAACCAGCCGGCGCTGGCAGCCTATCCATCCTTGCTGCCAGACCCGCACCTTCTGCTGTCTGCTGAGACTGAGCATCTTGTTTTGCACTGTGATTCCAAGACTCAGAGGTCCTTCGTGGAGAGGGCAAAGGGCAAGACAGACTGCCAGAAACCTCCCCTCGCACAACCAGGGTTTAAATCCAAATCTGGCCCCAGTGGCATTCCCTATACCCCTGTCACCCCCAGTAAAGAAAAGTAAGGATATTCCAATGGGGTCACTTCACAGGGCAAGGAGAAAAGGCTGGAGATACGGATGGTGAGGAGCAGAGAGCTTTGGCTGAATCCTGCATTAACCACAGGCTGGCCCAGGTGGGAAGCTCCCTACCATTCCCACCTCTCAGGGTCCACCAGGGAAACCCATAGGAGCAGGGACTGGGCAGACCAACCTTGCCTCAGTGAACAGGAAGCCAGGGATCCCACCTGCTCTAAAGACACTATGACTATGCCCACCCAACTTTCTGTGTCTTCAGGTTGTCAGCAGAGCTTCAGGGTGACAAACAGCAATTTGGCCCTCATAATGGCAGACAGCCTTGCAGCCCACCCCGAAGCAGGGATTATGAAAAGCCAGGGTCCAGCCACGTCTGTGGTCTGCACCATGCTTAAGCCTAAACTGTGAGTTGTAAAAGACAACTGTTTGGGCTGGAGATATAGCTCAGCAGCACAGTGCCTGCCTGGCAAGTGTAAGGTGCTGAGTTCGAATGCCAGTACCCCCGCCCCCAAAATGACAGCTGTTTTGGTTTGCTTTCCCTTACCCCTTTGTCCAGCCACAGGGTACTCTTTCCTGTGGTTCAGATGTAATCTACATCATGCCCTCCCCCTCTTGATATCAAAACTCAGAGCTAGCCAATGTCCACCATCCTCCTGGGCAAGAACTGATTCAGGGATGGGCACATGAACCTAAGCTGCCTCCACCACAGTCATTCAGAAAACGGATATAGATGTTGGGGCCACTTTTCTGCCATACTGAGCAGCACAGCCTGATGTTGGCACTAGTTGAGAGGGCACCTTTGCTCTGTGTGGAGAAATCCTGCCTGAGAACAGAGCTAACACATAAGAAAGTAGAACCATGGAATGGAGAAACTGAGCCCAGAATATCCTCGAACCCTTGCACCCTACAGTGCTCAGGAACCCCTGTGCCAGCAAGTCCCTCTGCCTTTTTAAACCAGTTTGAGTCAGGCTTCTGTAACTTGAATCCAGAGTCCAGGCAACCTTACAGGACTCTGTTAAAACACCATAGGAAACTGGGCATGATATCACACATCTGTAATTCCAGCACGCTACGAGGCTGAGCCAGGGAGATCACAATTTCAAGCCTGGCCTGAGCAACTTAGTGACTTAGAAAGACCCCTTTCTCAAAATAAAAAAAGTTCTGGGGATGGAGCTCAGTGTGAAGAAGGCCCTGTACTCAATCTCCAGTGCCACAAAAACAAAAACCATAGGAATTTAATGTAACATCTGCTATAAAATAATTTACGCTTTTTAGTTCATTTCTTTGATAATGACATAAAAATCATGAATCAAATGACCGGTGAATTTCTGTTTTACCACTTTAAATAATGAAAAATTACTTTGACTAGTGCTTTGTTCAAGATATTAAATTCATCACAAGTTCAAATAGTTATATTAACTGTACATACCTTTAGGGAGCGCTGTATCTTGAATGGGATATTTGTCTGACTGTAGGATCCAACAAAAGAAAAGAGTTATTTTTAAATGTCAAATTAGAGGATCAAAGTGAAAGAAAGCTTTGTCTTGGGAAAGTCATGGTTTTAATTTAAAACGTTGGAAATGGTTAGCCTTGGACTTGTCAATAAGCCTATCTCATTGACTGTCTTTATTCTCAAATTTATGGACATGAAGTCAAGGTTGACAAGAAGTTAATGTTGGAACATGAAATAGAATAAGCCTTATTCTAATTTCCTTGGCTCTGACCACTAAACCACACTTCCTTTCCCTGCAATGCTATTCTCCCTATCTGCTTCCTGCAGCTTGAAATGAAGAGGCTTTTGTTTTTCAAGCATCATGGGGACAGACTATTTTTTCCCACCATTTCTATGACAGTCATATGGGTCAATGAGTGTGTGTTCTGGGCGGTGCTTATCATTGCATTGATAGGTTTGAATCCTAGAACTACAGTCCAAAGGTAACTGAGCTGTCAATTGTGCAAAGATCTAAAGGTCAGTTACTAATTATGCACAATTATGCACAGTCCACAAGGCACTTATTGGAGTAGGCCTGCTGTTATGGTTTAAATCCAGAATGTCTCCCTAAAGGCTTGTGTGTTAGGAGATGAGGGTACTGGAAGATGATTGGATCATGGCGTTGCTATCCTCATCAGTGGGTTCACACTGATGAATTCAGAAGCCCACTGTGCAGTTAGGAGGTGGGGCCTGGTTGGAGGTAGGTCACTGGGGATGTGACCTGAAAGGGATGTATTTCTGTCCCTGGCTCCTCCCTTTTCTTTCTGGCTCCTGGCTGCCATGGATGAGCAGCTTCCCTCTGCCCTGAACCTTCCATCATGCTGTTTCGCTCTTGGGGCAACCAGGGACTAAACCCACTGGAAACTGTGAGCTAAATAAACCTCTCCTTCATGTTGTTGTCAGGTATTGGTTCCCAGCAATGGCAAAGTGTCTAAGACACCCACCTGTTTAAGGGAATTCAAATTGCATATGTGCTTACATTATTTAATCTGTTTACACCTATCTGTAGGTATCTAATGTTCTGGAAACTTATCCCAGTTAAACAAGGCAACTATTCTCTGAAGCTTCCAAGAGAGGATGAGAATGTGCCTCTACCCTGTCTCCAGACCCAGCTCCACTCCTGACTCATCCCTGCCCTCCAGTCGGAACCAGGCTTCCAGTTTCCTTTCAAATTTCTTGCAGGTCTCTATCTTGCCTTCCTTGGCAAAGCAGAAAAAGAAGTCAATGTGGAATCAAGAATATTTTTTTGATGCCTTTTGTGAGTTAAAAAGGAGTTGGGCAGCGAAGTTTTGGAACTCCTAGAAGCCTCCAACCTCTTCCCAACAAAACTCAGTAAGTAAATCACAATTAATCACAGAGACCTATAATCTCCAATAGGTCCACCCCAGCTACACTTCTGTGTGGTCCCCAAAGCATGAACCACATCTTTGTGGCACCCCCTCTCAGGCTGCTGTGGAAGCCCTTGACTACTCCTTCAGGCAGACTGTGAGCCTCCTCAGAGACTGTAATGCACGGTAAAGTGAAGATCTGCAAAAAGCCCTCTAGACAAACACAGGTGGAAGTGAGTGTGGGTCTCCTGGAGAAACTGATGTCCAAGTGATGCTCAGGACTCAGAAAGAAGGAACCAAGAAGGAGCAAGGTCACTGCAGATGGCACATGAAGCAGGAGTAAAAGCCAGTGAGCAGAACAGGTATAGGGAAGGAATTCCCGCAGTAGTCAAGGGGTGGACAGAAGAAGATGGGGCTGAATATGCAAAGGTGGAGCGTGAGAATGAAGGAAAGGGACTGTGCTCAAGGTGTTCAGGAACTTGCTGCATCAAGTATCAGTGACTGTCTTGAGTGTATCTCTGTGTGTGGTAAAGTGATCAACCCAATTGTGATGGGAAGTCAGACAAGCAAGAAATTCCAATCCAGAGATAACAACAGGGACCATGCCATGGGAAAGGGAACCCTTGAGGTCCCCAGGCGGAGGAGGCTCTGTGGATGAGAAGATGCCTGGGTCACAATGGAAAGAAGTAGGAACACTTTCCTGCCAGAGGAAGCAGAGGATTGGTGTCCTGGGAAAGTGAGAGAGCAAGGAGCATCTAAAGGACAGCAAACAGATATATGAAACTGGCTCTGCAGGTGAACAGCTGATGCCGATAAGGTCATAGAGATCTCATCTGCCACAACAAGGAGTGTATGCTAAACCTGTTTGCAGCAGGGTGCTGTGGGTTGCTTTATGGCCCCTGAAAAGGTTATATTGACATCGTAGCCCCTCACATCTCATAACATGACTTTTTTTGGAAACAGGGGTACAAATAACATTAGTGAAGGTGAGGTCACAGTATAGGAGGAGCGTGGACCCTTAAGCCAATGTGACTGATATTCCTATAAGAAGAGAAGACAGAGAGTTGTGGATACTTACATCTACTCTCAGTGGTAGAGCACTTACTCAGTATATGTGAAGCCCTGGGCTCAAGCCCAGCACAACACACAAAAAAGAGGAAGAAGAGAAAAAAGGGGGGGAGAAGAGCAGGAGGGGGAAAAGAAGTAGGGAGAAGAGAAGAAGGGGGAAAGAAGGGGGAGAGGAGAAAGAGGAGGGGAAAGAAGAAAAAGAGGAGCTGAAGGAGTATAACGAGATCCAGAAACAAGGCTCACACAGAGAAGATGGCCACGTGCTGACAGAGTGAGAGATGGTAGGGTGCATCTCAAAGCTAGGGAGCATCCAGGATCGCATGCAACACCATCAGCAGTTAGATGAAGCAGGGGGAGGGTAGTTATGGTTTGTCCTCCAAGGCTCAAAAGCTGGGAAGTGACTGCACTTTGAAGGCTCTGATCTCGTCATTGGACTACTGGGAGGTGGTATAACTGGAGGGCAGTGGAGCCTAGCTGAAGGAAGTGGGTCGTGGCTACCTCACCCTGGGTCATACTCAGAACAGAGTGACGTTTCCACGCCTTCCATGTTGTTGGTTTTTTAGAGCTGTCTTAGCAGAATGGTCTACGATGACATGTGTATGTTTTGTCACTGTTCCAGAGACTGGAAGTCCAAGATCAAGGTGTTTGCAGGACACGGTCCCTCTGAGGCATGTAGGGAAGAATTTTTCTGTGTCAATGTGACAGTTAATTTTAATTGTCAACTTGACTTGATTAAGTCTAGGAGATTAGTAAAGCACACTGCGGGGCATGGCTGGGTAGGTTATGGCAGTGTGGCCTTGAGTATTACATCTGGTGCAAGCCTATTCTTTCCTGGAACCCTTTCCCTGCTCTACTTCCTGGTTGCCATGAACTAAGCATCTCTGCTCTACCGTACCCTTTTGCCTGTGATGTTTCTGCCTTGGAGTCAGTTGGCCATAGACCGAAGACTCTAAAACCGTGAGCCAAATTAAACCTCTCCTCTTTTAAACTGAAGATGTCAGATATTTTCTCCAGCAATGATAAAGCTGACCCACAAAGTTAGCTTTCTGTCTCTCTATTAAAATACCTAAGAAAATCAACATAAAAAAAGAAAAGTTTAGCCAGGCACAGTGGTGCAGACCTATAATCCTAGCACTCAGGAGGCTGAGGCAATAGGATTGCCATGAGTTCAAGGCCAGCCTAGGCTCACAGTGAATGAGTGCAAAGCCAGTCTGAACTACATAGTGAGACTCCCATCTCAAAAAAAGAAAAAAAAAAAAAAAAAAGACAAGGTTTATTTTGGCTCATGATGTCAGGGTTGCTAACCCATGGCCACTTGACTCCATTATTTCCACTGTTTCTAGGCCTGTGGTGAAGCAGAAGCATCATGCAGGGATGGTGGATCCATGCTGCTCACAGTCCAGGCTGCAGGGAAGTGCCTGCACCTGCTTTCCCTCACTGCGTCCTGTGCAGTGGGATAAGAACAACTATCTGCCACCTCACAGGGTGCCTGAAGGAGGAAAGTCAATGCCTGTGACATCTCTGATAACTTTACAGAAATCAATGGGGCTCAGAGAAGAGGGTGGAGAGGGGGATTAAATGTGCTAACAGAGATAAATCAGTGTGTGTGCTCCTCTGCTCAGTTCCTGAAAAACTGTCTGGTTTTATCTTCAACCTCACATTAGATTAGTTTGAATTAAAAGTAGACCAACAGTATTAAAAGTTGACAGGTAGCCAAAGATTTCATAAAATCTAAGAGCACTTCTGGTACACACAACACAGGAATAGGATCCAACACACTATTTCCAGCCTGGAGAAACCCAAGGTTTATTCTTCCCCAGAGAACACCAGATAAAGATAAGAAATCTTACTTTGGGTTTCTAATTTTGTGCAAAAACTCTAAAGAAAATGTGAAGTAACAAAAGAGAAAAAAGCAAAACAAGGAGTGTGGCTATGAATGGAACACGTGTAACCTACCATGTTAAAGGACAAAGTGCTAGGGTCGGTGTCTTCCACTGGCTCCTTAGCCATGTGATCTGTGAAACAAAAAACAAAGGGAGAGTGTTTTCTTTAATGTAAAAGCACAAATGAGTCCTTTGATACGTCTTCCTATAGACAAACACCACTGTACTCATTCAGGTCTGAGAAACACTCTCTCAATCATTACTAGTCTTACGTAAGGCGGGGTTCAAATTGCACCAAGAAAGAGATTAAGAAAAAGGAAGGCTTGTTTCAAAAACACTATTGTATTTGGAACAGTTTACTTATAAATAAGTCACAAACAGAGTAACAAGTAACCAAAAATTTTGCAGATAGGATGTTAATGACTCTTTTATAGTCTGTATTGAACACCTTTAAGTAGGAAAGATTTAACTCTGAATACTACAGGTTTCCTTAGTTCTCAGTCTCTGTAACTTGTTTTTTAAAAAATCATCTCAAAGTATGCTCTTAACATGCTTCAAGTGAATATTAAAAGTGGTGACTTTGACTTCTCAGTATTTTGCATCTTATGCTTGATCAATTTATTCCATGTAAGGAAATGAATGAGAAAATATAGAAAAAAATACAGACTTCTGTCAGGACCTCCACTAGCTCACACTAATTCATACACATTAGAAAAAGATACCCTTTTCCAAGGTGCTTTTTAGGCATCTGCCAGGAAACCGTCTTAACGATGACTAAATTTGAGTGGAATCTTTCAGATTTGTTCAATATACACGCTCAGTCAAGATTTAATGTTTGCTTTTTATCCAGACCTTCAATAAGTGTTTACTATGGACTAAGCCCTAAGTCTAGGCAATGTCTTTGGGGATCCAGATAATGCATCATGGGACAATTTCTTGAGATAGTAATTTGTGTTTGTTGCCCTGGATGTTCTCCTGCTGAGAATGGGCTTTGCATCTTTCTCTGCCCCAGGGTGTTGACAGAAAGAGAAGCTGCATGAAATCAGTATCTCTGTATCTTTATGACAGCCTTTAGTCACTAAAGAGGTGGTCACAAAGGGAGAGAGCTTTGGCCAGTGACCTCCCATGAAGAGGGGGCTATGGCTTGTTCCTGGCATTTTCTCAGATGCTTTGTTACAGCAACAGAAAATTGTCTAACACAACTACAGACTCAGACTTGAGCTTAAATTGACAAGAAAATAAGCAAGTGTGTTGCCAGTACCACCCTGAGTGTGCAGAACTCTGGGTGCTCGAGTAATAGGGCACTGAGTGCTTCCTCTGTGACAGTGTGGGGCCACATAGGAGTGCACAGGAAGGGTGGACACTGCAGGAACAGGGGAGTGAGCAGGGAACAACCTGCACAGCAGCAGAAACCTGTGTCCCAAAGGAAGACTGACATTAGCCAGGGCACAGCACCTGGAGAGCATTCAGCCAGGAAAAGGCTGAGAGAGAAGAGAGAACATGTATGTATCAAGCATGTTCTCACAGATGGACAGACTGCATTTGGTTTTCTAGTTTTTCTTTCCCAAGTTTTTTACATGTTGGTCCACTCTGGGGCAGGGCTGTAGAAGCCACCACCACGCAGTGATCTTTTTTCATAGATCACATGGCCAAGGAGTCTTCTCAAACCCTTCTCCTTACTCCTTATCCTATTCTTCTTGAATATTTCATCCTCGCTGAAGTGCAACTGGATGCTAACACTTTACGATGTTAGCATTCGGCTTTGTGGGGTTTTAACAGGTGCCAATGCTATGGGATTGCAAGGAATGAGGCTGCGAAGGGGAGGCTGGGGTGGGGGATTATTAACACCCTTTAAGGCATCCTGTGCAGACACTATGAGCTGTGTCTGTAGCAAGTTAGGGTAGCTTCCTTCAGGAAAAGGAGTAAGAGAGGGAGGAAAAAGAAAAAGGCCTAACAAGGGAAGAAAGTGGAGGAGGCAGCTGAAAAAGGAGGAGGCAAACTAAAAACAGCAGTGAGGAGCAACTAGGACAACTAAGAGGATGGAACACTGCACACAGGTGGAGGAGGCCTGGGTCCTCACAGACACAGACAGCCAGGGCTGGCCTTGAACAAGACTATGACCTCGAACCAGATTAGTGCTGTGCCCAAGTCTCTTGCTTCTGCACTTGGCCAGTGGTCTTTGGTAATTCTGGTCCAGCCAAGTTTGGAAATCCAGGAGGCTGATCCACTGCCTCTGACTGTGACCCAGCTGCTGTGCTGTCACTGGCACACCTGCGGGTAGCAGGCAGACACAGAGAAGACAACAGGACAATGTCCCTTTCAAAGTCTGACATCTCTGGGAGTAAATGGAACCTAAGAAGTGAGCGACAGGTGGAATTCGGGAGCTTTGTTTTCTGAAGTATGGCAAAAGGGCAAGGAAGGCTCCAGGAAGGGCCTGTGTGCATAAACCATACTGGAGGCATTTATGTCCAGGTCTTTTCTTCTTTCCTCTGTGAATGTTCTGCTGGTCCTGGCCTTTGCCGTACAACAGTCTCTGGACTGAGCACTTGTGTGTTACTGCCAAGATGACAGACCCAGCTACTGCAATGGCCCACACGCTATGTCTGATCCAGTTCCTTCTCCCAGGAGTGTGTGTGTGTGTGTGTGTGTGTCTGTGTGTGTGTGTGTGTGTGTGTGTGTGTGTGTGTGTGTGTGTGTTTAGCTGGGGACTGGACCCAAGGTCTTTGCAGTGAGCTATATCCACTGTGTTTTTTATTTTTTGAACTTGAGATCCTCTTGCTTCAACCTCCCAGAATGCTGGCATTACAGACCTGAGCCCTCCTGCCCAATTCTGCTAGTTCGTTTACCTTATACTAACCTACTTTTATTCTGACAGGCCCAGATACTTGTGGGCCAGAGGGAAGTTATTTGGGGGAGGGACGCTCCCAGTTATCTGAGGGAGATCTAGAAGTAAAAAGTTTTCCTAAAGTCTTACTAGAGGCCTTATAGTTGCTTGCTTACAATACTATTAAGTGTAAAATAAAATTACTTAAAGATCTAAAATGTTTATTTTATATTTCCCAGTCAACAGCAGGCTAAATTCCCAAATAAGACTATGGTATCAGAAGGGATACGATGTGCCCTGAGATATTCTACAGTGTATCTTCCCAAGAGTTAAAAATATCTTACTATACTCACACATGCTTACCTATGTTTAAAGCAGCATAAGCCACAATAGCTTAACTATGGAATAGCCCATATGTTCATGGATACACGAGTAGATAAATAAAATGGAATATTATGGAGGTGCAGAGAAGAAAAAGTTTAGACATTCATAGAAAAATGGATGGATCTTGAGATCATAATATTAAATGAATTAAATTATATACAGAATGTTAAATATAGCATGGTTTTGCTTCTATTAGAAACTCACAATATAAATAAGGGGGATAACAAAAGGTACAGTGGATATTATGAATGAGAAAAACTTTTCAAAAGAAAAAAAAACTGAGATGGGAGAAAAGGGAAAGTAAGCAGGAGAAAAGGAAAAAAATATATAAACATATGACAGTTAAGACAGTTATATAAGCTGGTTCTTCTTGGTTCGCTGAGGGGGAAGTTTTATGCTAGTAATTTTCTAGACAATGTTTCATGCCTGTATCTTGTACTCCTAACAACTACTGTGAACCTAATAGTGTGCAATGTGTTATTATTACTCTCCTACTAAAAAGAGTTTTATTATTATTTTTTACTTTAAAAAAATTTTTTTAAAGTAAATAAAGGGGATCAGAAATGATCAAGATATGATATATGTATATGCCAATTACCCAAAAGTTAATTATTATGTATTGCAAATACCAATAAAATTTTTTTAAAAATTTTAAAAAGTGGGCATAGATGAGTCCCAGAAGGCCAGGCCTGCCAGCACCACCAGGGTTCAGTGGGGGACATTCTCTGCTCCTGGTGTCATCTCTTCGACAAGAGTTAGGCTTTCCTAACTCTTCTGGATTAGTGACTCCAGATGCGCTGAGATCAGCCCATATTCTCTGGCAAAGGACTGGTTGTCATTGCCATGAGCATCGGCTGAAGAGTCCCCTGGCACAGGAGAGACCTGTTGAGCTGATACTGCAGGGCCTGGTGGGAGCAGATCGGGCAGGCTACATGGTCATTTAGTTTCTGGAGACTGCAGATCCCTAATTCGTCTGAGTAGTAGCAAAAGACAGTCTCTACATCCTCACTCATGTCAAAGTCCAAGAGTAGTGTCCAATAGGGACCACACAGGTGGAAGCATCCCTGGCTGAGAGATTGCAACTTTAAGCAGTACCCAAGCTGGCCCTTCTCTGGGGTCTCCTCTGTGCTGTGATGAGTACCGTCTCTGTTGACATAGTTATTTGGTTTCCTCCAAATTCTGAGCCCACAGCTCCCTTACCAAGGCAGCCACAGGCACTCTTAACTTTCTTGGCCTGTCCATCTTAGAGCCAATGATTAAGAAATTCTCCAACCCATCTTGTCCAAAAGTGAGTCATAAGACCCTCTTCCCCATCTCACAGTGGGTCCTGCCACATACCCAGGAGGAGGGAACACTGCCCAGAAGATCCAAGAAGAATCTGACAGACACCCTTGCTAGGTCCCCGCCTGGCCTATCAACATTAGACCATTGTTGGCCAATTACTTTCCTACACATTGCCTGTATTTCAATAGTGGCCCTGAAATGAGGCCTCCATAAGAACAAAGGAAGTTGGGTGAGTGGCACAAGCCTATAATCCTCTCTCTATTCATCACACTACAGAGGGGCGGCAATTTCTCAGAGGACATTCAAACATCATCTCCAGTGATGACCTTTCAAAGAAAACAAAAAGGCAAGGTGTGGAGCTTCCAGTTTTCCCAAACCCTGTGAGCCAAAAGCCTGGAGCCCTTTGTGCTTTCTAGCGAAGAATTAATGACAACTCTTTGACCTTGTAATTTTGGAGTTAAAGTTAAGTTCCTCTTCTTTTTTTAGCCATAGTTCTCCTTTAATCCCCAGCTGTCTTCATCACTGCTTATAAAAAGCCCTGGTGTCCTGAACCAAACTGGCAATCACACAAGCACTCACAGTGTACGCAGACAGCTTTGGTGGAGGTGACAACCTTCTCCTCTTTCTCCCTAGGTCATGAGGCTGAATGAGCACATGGAGTCCTACATCAGCTTCTCTGGAGAGCAGCCCCATCAGCCCAGTAATAAGGATCAGACCGAGGAGGAGCAGGGAAGGAGGGGAGAGGGGACAATGGATGTGAGAGGAGAGTCAGACACAATTCCAGGAGAGAGAAGAACACTGAGCAAGCAGAAGTATTGTAAGGTAGTGAAAAAATGAAGGGAAGACTGGGAAAACCACAAGGAAGGGAAGGAGAGAGGGGAAAAGGAAGGAAGATCACAGTTGTGATCACCACATTGTTACCACCATCTTTGGTGGCTTTGGAAATGAACTGGTCCAGCTCTGGGCATGTAGATACTCCTGAAAGAGGCTCACTCTTTAGCGCTGGGTGCTTCTCCCCACTTGGGAGACTCATGACTGCCCACAGAAAGACTACAAAGGACCAGTGATGGGTGCAATAGCTCCAAAGGGGCCATGGTGGACTAGTGACCAAGGCTGAGGCTCCCATGGAGTAGCCATGCTGCCCAGGACAAAAGGGCCCCAGAGCAAGGGACAGCTATGTGGCTGTGCTCCCTGCAACCAAGTAGTAAGTGTCCCTTTTGCCAACCTTCCAAGTGTCCCCTTCCTCAGCCTGGACCTTTAGAGCCTCCTGGTTTGTTCTGTCTTCAAATATCTAACAGGTGTGGTCAAAATATACAGTGAATGTTCATTTAAAAATATGACAGTAAAACACACTGCCATTGCACACCCAAACTTTCCCCTTTACTTCAGTTGCACATATCCTATCACACTTGCTACTTTCTGAAGCAGTTCTGTAAGTGTCTTGTACCATCACAGCTGCCTGCATGTCCTAAGTAGATTAAAATATTTACCTTTCATGGTCATTTGACTTCAGAGAAGAGCCAGAAATCACACAGTGCAAGACCTGGTGTATAAGATGGATGAGAACACAACATAATGTTTTCACAAGCTTTCCTTTCTGCTGGATGGTACTTGGCAGCAGCATTTACTGTATTTTTGATCAACCCTTGTAAAGAATACTCACAAAAGAGGACTTACAGCACTGCATCAGAAAGTAGCAGGAAAGGATGATGGGATAAGTATGTTTGAAGCAAGAGGGCATATTTTAAGATGATTCAATGGCAGTCTTTTAGTGTAACTTTTTTTATTTATACACTCACTATATTTTTTGATTATTCCTTGTATGAAAACAAATGAACTAGATTTCACCCACATTTAACACAGAATTCTGGCCCCTTCAATAATAACCAGCACAGCCATTTCCTTCCCTGTGACTTGAAATGTCTTGGGAATCCTCTTAATGTTATGTTATCTTTAATTAATATAGCAATATATGTACCTGAAAAAGCTTTACAAGGTAAACATAAGTGCACACACATAACTCAATAAGTAAACTTTTAAAATACCAACATAAGAAGAATGCTTTCCCCTCATAGTTTGAAGTAAGTTTGGTTAGATTTTGTTTCTTTCATTCATTCATGGGAGTGCTAAGCATTTATCAAGAGCTTCATATGTGCCAAGCACTGTGTGAGGTGTTAGAGACAAGCTAAGAAGAAAAAAAAAAAGACATGGTCCCTATCAAGGAGTTTACACTCCAATGGGGGAGAATAACAATAGCCAAATGATCAATCACACCTGCAAAATTGACAAGTGTCAGAAACGGAAGGGCTGTGTGAGGATGGCATGGAGCTGGTCACCTCTGAGCTGAAGTCCAGAGAAGTGGGAGATGTGTGTGTGTGTGTGTGTGTGTGTGTGTGTGTGTGTAGCCTTACAGGCTGAGGGAGAAACCTGTGGATAGGTCAGAAGACAGGAGGGTGGGAGGGTTTTCAAGGAAAGGAAAGGAGGTCCAGTGGCTGCTATCCAGAGAGCAGGGGGCTAAAGAGGGCAGGTGAAGGGTTTCAGGGATAGGTCAGGACCCATCACACAGAGCATGGAAGCCACTCAAGGACTTGTCAGAAAGTGGCTCTAAGCAGAAGGATGACAGGACCTGACTTGCTCTGCAGAGATCACTCTGACCATCTTTTGTAAAACAGGTTGGCAGCAGGCAAGCCTGAGAGAGAAAACACTGGGTGGGAGTGAGCTAGGCAACCAGGTGAGAGTGTGGTAACAGGTCTGGGCGGAGAGGTGAAAATACCACTGGCCTTGGTCCACTGGAACCATCGGTGATTTCGTTGCAGGGAGGTAGGTTTCTTGTGGGTTGCAAAAACAGAACAAAATGTTTGGAAGGGGAAACTGGTGTGTTTCAGGAGAGGAATCACATTTGACTGATGGGTTCTCAGAGTAGGAAGGGACACTGAGACCATCTTCTAGAAGCTTTGAAGTCTTCCGCAGCCTATTCCAGGTGACACAGGGTCTTGACCTTGGGAGGCCGCCCTCCTCTCGCTGGGGCCCCAGCGCTACCTCTTTCCAGAGATCTCACCCACAGGTTTGGTTTCTATCTCCTAAAGTCAAAGAGATACATCATCTCTCAGATACCCTCCTGTCATACACTCTGTGGTCACATCATTCTATCTCTGCGGGGACTTCAAGTCCCTTCATTCCAGATTGTGGGTATCTGCTTTGGCCAGGCCATGCAGACTGATGGTACCTGGAATTTCACATCTAGTAGTGTTGTTACAGTCACCTAAGGCCACACTAGCTCTCCTGATGACCTCCTTGCACCTTGTGCCCTGGGTGATTCACAGAGGATTTTTATCACTGAGACCACTGTTGAGTGGATTCCCAGCCCCCACCTCCTGTGGCATGGCTGATTGGGGGGGGCACAGAATTCATTTGTATTTCCATTGAGCGAATCTCTAAGACCTGTAATAAGATCTGAGACCACTATTATTAAAATTTAACCCAAACATTCCTCCATACCTTGTCAACTAGGTTCCGGCAAAAGTGGGTACAGGGTAGAGGTAGGAGGTAAGGGGGAGGATCTCCACCTTTTTCCCCTTCTGTTGTCCAAATAAAACATATGTAGAGACATCCGATTTATTTTCCATCTCCAATTGACAAAATGTTCGCCATACCCCACTTGAAGAATTTAAATCTTTTTTGAAGTCTCAACTCCCACCCCACACCCCAAATAGCACATCACAATGCCGAGGTAGCTGTTGAGTTTTTAATCTTCTGATTTTAATCTCTAGAGACATGGCTCCTTCAAGGTTCTCAAGCCACAAATTAGTGTTAGAATACTGGAGCTCTGTTCCTGCCCAGGCTCCAGAAATGAAATTAGGAAACATTTCCATCCGAACAGCAGCATCTCCTTTAGGGTGGCTCTTCCCTAGTATGTCCAACCTCAGCAAAACCAGGTACAGCCCCAGTGCACCCTGAGGGCCATATCAGCCACTCAGTAGTGTATTCCACAAACGTTCACGGAGTTTGCCCGTAGGTTATGGGAGTGAGAATTCCTAGAAGGTGAATTCTAAAAAGGACTTAAAATCCAGGTGAGAGATGAAAGAAAATTCCAGATCCTGGCCTCAGATACGAAAGCATAATATCTTAAAATAAGGATGACACTACAGGACATTCTAATCAAAGGCCTCCACAGGTGGGGATTCCACAGGTGGGCTCGATCTTTGGTTTCTCCGGACACTGATTTATGAAAAAGCTTTGGGAATGGGGTAGGGGACACAACATTGACAAAAGTTCAACTAAGAGGGACGAAGGGAAAGCAGAAGGCATGAAAGCTGGAAACCAGGGAGAGCAAGGAGGAGAAAAAGAAATACACCCCATGCGCTCTTCTTTGCCGGAGGTTGGCGAGACTTGTTTCAACCTGGCATCCTGCGCCCGGAACAAAGCGGCCGGGCGCGCGCGGGCGCAGGGGGCGAGCGCACCGCGCAGGGTCTGTAGTCGCCCACAGTGTAGCCCAGGGGTGGGGCGACACCGCCTCCATCCCCGCCCGGCCCGAGTCTGGCGTGCTGTCGGGGGATCCTGAGGTGCCCTTGGGGGGCCGCGGAGGTTCGAACCCAGGCTATGTCTCAGCCGCGCGCACCCCACGAGCTCCCGGTCCCCGCTCCAGTAAGGGCGCGGCGCGGTGTCACTTTACCTGAGCGCAGAGGGTCGTTGGGAGAAGCCATGTGGGCGGGGAGAGGGCAGACGGGCACTCGGGCAGAGCCAGGTGGCCTCGGGGACCGGGGAGGAGAGCGGGCCGCGGCGACTGGAGGTCCTGCGGGGCAGACGCGCCGGGAGGAGCCTCCACGGCCACGGCTCTGCGCGCCCTGCGTCTCCTCCGCCTGTTCGTCCCGGGTCTCCGCAGCTTCTTCCTCAAGCTCACTTCCTGCTCTGGCAATTAGCAAAGCCCCTGCTTGGCGTCACCCCCGCCTCCTCCTGGGGCGCGGGGTGGGGTCCCGGGTGTCCGCGGAGCGCCCGGAGCGCGCGTCCTGCCCGGTGCCCCGTCCGCCTGGGCCGGTCCCACCGCAGGCCACAGCGACGACAGCCTTGGACCGACTCCCGTGCGACCCGGGCCTTGGAAAAAGGCTGCAGGGGCGCACCGGTGACTTTCCTGGCTGCCAGGCGCGCCCTCGGCTGGGACACCAGTTCGCTCCTCACACAGGCCTGCACCGGGACGCCTGCCGGCGATCTGATATTTAAACAGTTTCCTAATCTTGAGGCGGACCCCGCCGCTGCATGATGGCACACGCTAATACTTCGCACAGTATTTTGATGTTTCTTTGGCTTTAGTTACTGCCTGACCTTAAGGGTGAGAGTTACACAAAGGAGCGAGAAGGATCCACACATGCTCACTTGGCCTCTAAGGGGAGAAAAAGCTCTGAGTTCTCTCAGAAATGCTAAATTGACTGGTCTTTTTTTAAAAAAAAAATAAGCTTTAATTTCAACAGATTTTAAACCTTCTGCTTAAATGAGCACTGCCTGGGATCATTTGTAGAAATTATATTTAATATTGCTGTATTCGAGCTAAATGTAATCACCCAATCGTTATATGAAGGTCACAGGTAATTTAAATTCAATATGAATCTCTGAAATGTATCAAGTACTCTATGTCTACCTTCATACAGAAGAACAGAAACATAAAAATTTAAGAGCAAAAACAATAACAGTGTTCAATGTCATCAGCATATTATCTGACACAAGTAATCGCCTAAAATCAGGTCTGAGAAACGCAGGCAGCAACAAAAGTCTACATACCTTCTTGGCCACCAGGAGGTTGTTTTGTACTTCTACCCATCTGTTTAGTTGTTCTGAGGCCCATGGAGTCCTGAACTTCTTAATCTCTGAAATATTCCAGGAAAGAGGCAAGAGCTTCGGAGAAGAGGGTGCTAGTGCTGCGTGGGACCAAAGACCTTCTAGCCAGAAGTTCAGCTCTAAGAAACTCGTGGTGGGAGGATGAACTTCCTCTTGGTCTGCCTTCTGATAGGAAGGGAAACTTTGTAAAATGGTATTTTCTCTTAGAGTACCTTTTGAGGTTTGGTTTGTGGTCCTATCTGTACTTCACATGCTGATGGAATTATTTCTGATGTTTGGTCATCAGGAGTTAGATACCAAGCTGGGCTAGCTTGTTCACACAACTTCAGTTGCACTAATGCTGGCTTGTTTTTCAAGTCTCTGAACAGCAAGTCATCTTCTTATTGTGCCTGTTCTTCATTATATCACATAGAAGGCAGTGCTAAAATGCACTTGAATTTTTAGAGCAAGATTGACTAGATACATGACTTACTGCTCTTTCATTCCATTTCCTGACGATGGCAAACATCCCCAACATTTTTTCCCCATGTATTTGTGAACTATAATGTGCAGTGCAAATGGGAGTTATTTTTTACAGTTTACCAAAAAAAGGTAATCTTAAAATAGTTCTCATCAGCCAGAGTTTCCATACAATCTGTGTATTGTCGCTTTTTGTCCTTCAGCTTTCAATTCTATTGCGGCCAAAGAGTGTGTGAAGACACACTTGAAAGGTGACATTTTCGATGTTTCCCAGTATTTACCAAAAACTCAAGAAATGTTGGCGTCCCTTTTTAAGTTCTATATTCCGATTACTTCACTACTCTTTTGTTTTGATGTGTTGTGTCTTTTTGAGACAGAGTTTCATTATGCAGTTCAGGTTGGCCTTGAACTCACTTTAAAGCTTTGAAACCCAGTCTGGCCTCAAACTCACAGCAGTCCTCTTGCCTCAGCCTCCCAAACTTCACTACTCTGTAAGTGACAGTCAGTTTTCCTTTTCTGACAAGCTGGCAGCACAGACTTGGCAATCTTATAGTCAGCCTGCTGGATTTGACCAGGAGTCTGTCACTGAGACAATGTTTTCTCTCTCTCTTCTCTCTGTTTTGAATATTTAAATTGTTTTATCATAAGCAAGAAGCCCAAATGTTGAGTTTGTAAGAGTTCACGGAATTGGGAAAATTCCCTCAAAAAATATATATTTTTTAACACACCTACATTGGTGTATGTAACATAGTAGAAACAAACAAACCAGCTGCCTTAACCTTTCATTCTTTTCTTGGAATTTATTGAGAGAAGTGCTTATTGACTTTGTTATAAGAAATGTCACAATATGTACTGAAGCACTGTATGAATCGTGGACTGGTGTGTTAATTGCTACCATTTTTTAAAGCAAAGTTTTAAAACTCATCCTATGCATTATACAAAGTTGCAAGCCCTGGGCAAACCAAAATAAGAAACCCTGACTCTTAAGAGTTTATAATCAAGAGAAATTTGTAAGTATTGCTTTGTTATACAATTGAGAAGTGAAAGTTCAAAGAAGTGAGTGTGGAGGATGGCACTGAAGACCTGTGGAAGCAGTGATCCAGGGGTGACTACCTCAGAGTGAGAGTTAGCTACAGCTGTTTCAGGAAAATTCCGTGATCTTAATTCATGGCTACAGAATTGTAGCCTGAAGTGTTGAAGAACACTGTTTGTGGCTTTTCACAAACAGATAATGATACTTACAAAAAAGTTACCTTAAAATGGGGAAAAGAGTGACTTAAAATGTATTTTCTTTAATTCATTGTAGATTGTGGGGTTTTTTTGTTTATTTTGCATCATTTTGGGTAATACTGTGGTTAAATTTCTGCATCTAAGATAAAAACTTACATTACGGAACACACATTTCCTTTCGTACACTTCGTATAAGTGAATCTCACAAACCAGGCCTTGACTGCCCAGCAAGGTCTGATCTAAATAAAAGTGGCCAGAACTGCATTGGAAGTGATTGGGTTTAGGAATGGAGAAGATTCTCTGTGTCGCAGGAAACAGCCCTGATGACTGAGTTTACATGATATGCCCTTGTAAAGTCAGGTATCACGGAAAATGCCCAGTGAGAATTACTAAGTTTGTGTAGGTCTTCATTTCTGGAACAGACACTGGGTAAATCTGATCAGAGTGCCCAAGGTAGGCATGGCGGACTTCTGCTGTCTTGCCAACTAACATCTCGTAGTAGTAGCCCAGTTTTTTCCTGGAGAATCACTGTTCCCCTTGATAGAACTGTGGGGGAGGACCAGCGGCAGCTGAAAAGATAAGAAGTATGAAATATAGATGACCTTTATTTTGGGAATGGGGGGAGAGATACCCCGATTCCCTGGAGCATGGCATCTCCACCCTGGGATTGGCAATCTCTCTGTGGAACACGTGGAGTGAGGCACATAAGTAGCCTTGATTTGGGGTGGAACCTAAGGGGGGCATTAGGGATGCACAGGTAGCCCATTGGTCTTAGGTTTGGCACCATAGGTAAATTCCCAGGGGTGGGGGAGATAGTGGCTTCCTTGTTCCAGTTGAGGCTTTCCTGGCTACAGAGTCCTGTCTGGGCCAAAACTCTTTCATATCCCGTCTTATGATTATTATTATGAAAAGGGGAGAAGATTTCTCTCTTTAACTACTTCCTGCTGGCAGAGGGCGCTGTACTGGAGCCTAGCGGAGTCGACGGGATGACAGTTGATGCCCAGGTAGAAGCTGGTGCCAGGTGTTTTAGCCAGGACAACTTCACTGGTGAATACACGTATGTTAGACTGGAAAAACAAAGAGACAAGATGTTATGAGGAGACATAGCACTGTCATATTTAAGGACCCAGGTGAGGTAGAAGGAAAGGTGCCTTTGATTTAGACATGTTCCACAATAAGACAGAATTTTGAAAATTAAGTGTGAGGTTAGGAGAAATGATGTTATGAGAGGTGATTACTCCCCCATCTGAAAGCATAAAACTTAAGAGGGTAGGTGTGTAAGGCTTGTCTCTGGTATGCATGACGTTGGAGTCTGTAGGCAATACTGTTAAAGAGTCCTGCTGTAAAAATGATCATTAATAGAAATTAGGAACCAAAGTGGAAAACAAAACATGACTTAGCCTGTTAACTGTGGCTGCGAGGCCTTCATGAAATGGAGACGGGTGGGCGACAGAAGATGAGATGACCACTCAGAATGATCAGATTTAGGGCTGGAAGGGCACCTCTTAGCCTGAGTGATGTGAAACCAGGATGGCAGTCTAGCAACTTTGATTTAGGCATGGCTCGCTGTAACCTGATTGTATCAGCAGTTTACCTGGTTGTGGGAAAGACTTTTATGTATCCTGAAAAAGTATAAACAATGTAAGAAGACAAAATGTATCTGTCAGTCTTGACCAGGGTTGTCTGACAAATTGGTGAATAAGAAAGGAAGGGGGTGGTCTTATATCATTGAGAAAAGGTTTATTAGCGATAACAGGTGTAAGCTGTTGAGGCCTCAATGTGTCTAAGTCAGCCTGTATAAAAGGCATTGCAAGATTTAGGACTGGGACCGGCACGAAATAGGCCCTGTTTGTAAATGGCATATGTTGACCATCAATACCCCATCGTAGAGATTGAGGACTTAATATAGCAGCCTGAAAACTCAGGAAGAACTCTGTATATATGGCCTCTATGTCCACAAATATAGAAAATTGTCTTACCTGAGACTTTAGTGCACCTTGGACTCTGAAACAGCCACCTTAAAGGGGGCTGTTGTTGCCCTGAACCCCCTCAGTCTTTGGCAGCAATTTTTTTTCAGTGATGAATCTGGCAGTGTGGACATTTCCTGTGAGAGCTAGAAGTTAGGATGGCTTACCCACACTCTGGTGGCTAGGACAGTCTAGCAGCCCTGGAGTAAAGTCTCAAAGAATGCCAGGAAGGGGCATTTTCTTGCCCAATGTCTTCTGCTGCATTTGAGCGTGTTCCATGGGGGACCAGGCAGCTCCACCTCATGTAGGTTTACCTGCCTCAGAACTCATAAGTGTCAAAAGTGTTAAAAATATGAAAAACCATATTAAGATCTCTCTAAGGTTTGAAGGTCAAGTTTTGCCTTTTTGTTTGGGATTTGACTACACTAGAATTAAGTGAGTATGTAGGAGTTTAATACTGACATTTTAGATCAGAGAGCAGGCTTTATCTGGAAGGCATATCACTTTTAGGGTGTTGCGTGGAATTACATATTTAACAAAAAGGCTTTGATTGATAAACAAGGCTGGTAAAATTATCAGGTGGCCAGTAACCTTGTTAAATGGTTTGACAATTGTGATTTAAAAAATAGCATCTCTTGAGCAGAGCCGAATTGTAAAAAGGCATGTCTGAGCAGAGCTGCTGAGCTGCTGTTTTGTGGCGCGCTGGCAGAGCATGCCCAGTGTGGGGGTG